GAGGATCTTAACCTGCGTCTGTCTGGAGTGGGAGAACCATGGCGACTCTTCCTCTAACCTTCTTTCTCCCAGAATTCTCTTCTGTATACTCCGCCTACCTAATTTTCTATCCAATAAAATGGGCCAAGGCAGTTTCTTTATTAGTAAGAAATCATTCCCACATCAAACATTATAATTGATTGCTAGTGCCCCTTATCATTCCATAAACTCAATTCATGCCTATTGCATATAGATGTATAGCTATGGCATTTCAGATGTTTATTTTAGGTGCTTGTTTATTGGGAAGCCAAGGATATGCAATGATAGAAATTAAATTATGACTTGTTATGGATTAAACATATTTGAATCTATATTTCCCCATAAAAATGTAGGTATATTTTTATTATTGAAAAAATTGGGAGTTATTTTGATTTAGTAGTTGATTTTTTAATAGGTAATGTTTACTAAGTACTAAAATGAGTTATTACCTTTTCCTGAGAAGCATTGCTTTTATTTAATAAAAAAAATGTTTTACTAAACATGACTAGTGGAACATAAAACCCCAAACTCCATCTTTTGCTAATCAGATCATCCCATTAGTAATTTTTTATGTTGTTCTTCATACCTATTAAGTGTGTGTGTTTCTCTTTTCTAGGTTATTACCATTGGAAAACATGTTAAAGGATACCATTATATCATTGCAAATCTGGTAGGTGAATTAACTGGCATTTTTTTTTACTACCTACTAAGCTTTTATTAAGATTTACTTATCTGCATTTTATGGAAATGAGTGTTTGTCTGCATGTGTGTCTGTGCACCATGTGCATGCAGTACTTGTAGATTGCAGATGAGGACATAGGACCCCCTAGTACTGGAGCTACAGTAGTTAGGAGCCACCATGTGAGTGTTGGGAACTTAACCCTGGTCTGTGAAAAATTAATGAGTGCTTGTAGTATAGAGATATCTCCCTAGCACACTTACACAATCTTTTTAATTGAATGTGTTAGTTTGGAATGATCATCATTCATAATGAATTTTTGATATATAGTCTGATTATTCTTTTATAGATGATAAATTAATTATTTTATTTGGTTGCTTTTGGTTTGCTTCTCCATCTACAACTTATATTAGTTCTAGTTTTTAGATGTGATAAAAGTATCTTTACAACAATATTTGCTCAAAAATTATCTTGAAAATTCTGTACTAAAGAAAACATCTAAAAAAATATAGTTTAACTCTTTAATTATCCATTTTTTTCTGTCGTGTTTTATAAACTTATTGTGTGCATTCTCACTTGAATTTTTAGTATGTAATATCTTAAATTGATATTTATAAGGAAATTAAGCTTAGAAATATGATAATATAATGTCAATAAAATTATCAATTATATATTGTAGAACATGTAACATCAATGTCTTGAAAGTATTTTATTTATGATTTTCTACATATTGTGTAAGTATCACAATGAAATGGAAACTGAGTAATTAAGAGTTTACCATGTTGTCATCAGGATGCTTGTCATTTCAGTACATATTGGAAAGCAGATTGGCTCTCATTATATTTCTTCGTGGTTTTTCTTTCTATCATATAGCCAATCAATTTAGATTATTGGACATTTGTTTTTATTTCCAAAATTGACTTTAAAAGAGTAACAAAACAGTCTTTGCTTTTTCTTCATGGTCTTTGAGTAGCTATGACACTGTTTGTTGGAAAAGATCTCTGCACCATGGGCAAACTCAGAAAACCATGGTGAACGAAAGGGAAAGAGGTGGCAAAAACAAGTGTGTTCTAGATCATGTGATAGATAAGACCGTACAAAGGCTTCATACTCATGCAAATGCAAGCTTCATTTGGGATTCATGGAGTATCTATCAGCTTGTACCTCAGAAAACATCCCTGGTATGACAGAGAGACACAGAAACAGAACAAAACTTGCAAGAAATAGTGTTTTCATTGAAAAAAAGTCATGTCAGTATCAGTGAGCGGCCTGAGTCTGGAAAAAGTTGGCTGTTCAAGGTGAAATCTCTCTTCCAGTGGTGTGATTCCTAGCTGCTATGACCATGCTCTGGACTCTTCTCTTAGTGTGTACCGAGGAGGCTGGAAAAGACTGTTGTAGATACAAGGGTTAACAGGAAACGAGATTCTGCAATGATTCTGCTGAGCTGCGATCCAGGCCCAGAACAGCCTGCACACTAAGTCCCCTGTGTGAATTGTGCCATTTGGTGAGCAGCACAGAGTCACAGTGAAAGCTGCGATCTTTGTAAATGTCCAGATGGAGAAGATTCTGTGGGAACATTGAGAAATAATGACAGAAGGTGTCTCATCAATTTGAGAGCTGATGTGTAACGCCATGACACATCATGGCTGTTTAAGTGAGCAAGTCAAGGCTCCTGCCATGGCTCTGTTTGGGAACCTTAAATTCACGCTGACGCTGAATGCGGCTCTGCTCTCCTTTACCCAAAGCCTCGAGTCCTCTCCTCACGAACCTCTGGCAGTTCAGTTAGTGCAGAAGTCCCGATTCTGATGCTAGGTCTGAGAATTTAGACATTAAAACCTGAAAAGTACCTCCTGCTGTTGAAGGGTTTTCATCTTCTAAGTTCCCAACAGAAAGCTAACGCTTTTTCTCTGACTTATGCACGTCAGAAGAGATGACTATAAAAGATTCTTTAAAACCCTCACATATGGATTAATTCATTTAAGAATTGCTAATAATGGTCTTGGTCCTTCAGATTCAGTCTACAATTAAATTGTTGCAGGATTTGAATGAACAGCTGACTCATAATACCATGAGATTTGGTCCTAAGATCTTGTGCCCCTGTTCTTATCTCTGCTATTCGCATGGATTTAACTTATGGATAATCATTTAGGAAGTTTAGGTTCCACGACACTAGAGGTGTTAAAGGTGTACTAACAGCTTAGATTTTAGTGATTAGTGATGAGTCACTTGATTTAAGCCTTGTGCGTACGTCTCCCTGAGCAATATGACGCTTTGGATTTGGTGGTTTGCTGCCAACTGAGTTGTCAGGTGTTGATCTCTCTCTGCTCTCATTCTGCTTCTGTCTTCCCCTCTTCCATCTCCTACTCCACCTCCTCTTCTTGCTTTTCATCTCCTCTCTCCTCCTCATGTTTCTCCTCTTTTTTTTATAAATAGAAACTTTGCAGAGGAGTAAACTAAGAATTTGGAAAATGCAGATTCTTATTTAGGGCAGCATCAAACCTTACCAAAGATTTCCGTTGAAAGTGTTGCATAATCACAGGAAAATGACAACAAGTGATTAAAATTATATGAAACCCAATGGAAAAAAATGAGGACAAAAATGTCAGGAAGACAAGAAGCTGAAGCTTTATCTGAAAAGATGAGGCATGAGGCAGGGCAAAGAGAGGAATATAAAACATGACAGGGAAAGCAGGCAGGTAGCTCCTGTTCTCGCTGTCCACTCTTCCTCCTCCATCCCTAGAGGCAGAGCCTGGCATGGGCTCCATGCGCACATTACTGAGAATGTGATGCTAGCAACAACCTGTGAGAGAGCAATAGAACACACAGAAAGAAAATAAAGGAAAGAATGGGCCTCCATTGATATTTGGGTTCAATCTGATACCCTGGGGCTCTGTGTTACAGAAAACTACACTATTCCCCTCCAAAATAAGAGAAGACAGAGAGATTTTTGAACCCAGAACCCAAATACTTTTGTCACTGAGCTAAGACTATAATGGAACAGCTTCTATTTTCTCAGGGAAATTTTGCCAACAAAAGTTATGTCTAGAACAGGGGAACTCTTATGGACCAAGCATCAGCTAAACATCAGATGGGTCCCAGGACACCTAGGTGCATCAAGGAGACTATTCAGTACAATAGCCTTGAGTCAAATTCCTTTGAAAGGAATAAACGGACACCCAAGTACCCTCTACACACACCCTCAACAAAGGGAACCACCAAGCACAAACTTTACTTCTAGTTCATATGATTTTCAGAAAACTATGCATATAAAACTGGACAACTAACAGAAAGCAAAAGTCCTCTCACAGAACTCCGAGCCCTCCCTCCAGTCACAAATCACTTTGCCCCCAGAATTTAGCCACACACACATACACGCTGCACCCAGTTGCATAGAAGACTGGAAGTTTCTAAGTGGCACAGGAGAAAGAAACAAATCTAAGGGGAAAAGGCCCGTGGCCCCGCCCCCTGCCCACAGGCCTTACAGCTCAGCAAAACGATGAGCCTCACGTGGACCCTAGAAACTCAGGGTTCATTTAACACCATTTCCATTGGAACACAATTGTGGGCTGACATGAAGCAATCACTCTTTGCCCAAATACAAAGTATAATAATTTGTATTTTTAATACTAACAGCAAATAAAAGATGCACGCTTAATTCGGGATCTATTTAATTATTGTGTATGGTGGAATGAATACATTTAAAATGTGAATGCATTTATATCAGCCACATCTAAATCTTGTTTCTATTTCTTTGATTTAAAAATAAAAAGAAAATTCAGTTGAATTCATCATAGCCCACGATTTGGACTCATGAGCAGAGTAACATGTTGGTGTGGGTTTGTGCTCATTAGTGCAATACCTGTACTTGTCAGAAGGGGGCATCAGAGAAGTTGCAAGATGACATGACCCACCCAGTGTGGCTATTGGGAGGGAACCTGGGTCCAAGAGCTTAACACATTCCCTTAATCACCCCAACTTCTCTCCAGAGCTGTAACTATTGGATCAAATTCAATTATTGCATTCAATCTGTTGCAAGTTTAATGTGAAATTGCGTTTCTGTTAAATAACTAAGAACAACGATTGGGTGTTTGCTTCTTCCTCCTCATTTTAAAGATATTTTTATCAGGTGAGTGAATGATCGGTTTAACTGAGGAAAGTTTGATTGATATTTTCCATATGGAAACACATGGCTGTACTCCACAATAAACGCATTGAAGGAGACCATTCCTTACCAGACACATGGGGGCTGTCTCAGTAGAAGAGAAAACTTCGATGCAGATATTTCTGTGAGCTTGGCTTGAGATGATCAGTCAGTAAACAAATCAACCCGGGACCCGCCATGATGTCAATATGAATGAGGTGTGGTGAGAAGCATTGGCTGTTAAGTATGCGGAACCTGTTACATAGGCATTTTATCTTCCCTGTGTGTGTTGAACCTGTAAAGAGACACTGTGTAGAGACACAGGAGAGGTTAACTTGCAGAGGGATAACACAAGTGTGTTTTATATCTAGGGATTTACTGATGGAGACCTGCTGAAAATTCAGTTTGGAGGTGCAAATGTCTCTGGATTTCAGATTGTGGACTACGATGACTCCCTGGTGTCTAAATTTATAGAAAGGTGGTCGACACTGGAAGAAAAAGAATATCCCGGAGCGCACACAGCGACGATTAAGGTTTGCATTAAGGGAAAGAACATGCTTAGAACATATTGGAGGAGATAGTGTTCAGTTCAAGGGATTATGAGCACACAGACTGATGAATGCATTTTCAGTATTTAGTTTGGTTACATAAGATACATGGTGTGTCACTGTAATGTTCTTCTGCATCTCCACAATGTTTTCATTCATTTACCTGTCTACTGGAATTTTTATATTGTGTGGCATCTTAACTAGGGACTTTGATGGCAAATCAAAGGAGAGATTTCTGAGGAATTACCATGAGGAAAGAGAATAAAAAGCCCACAGTTTGGGAAGGAACAGACAGCTATGGAACAGATGGCAGGCAAAAACATAAATTATATGTCCTGGGAAGCTTTCCTTGTGTGCGGAATCAATTTTAAACTTAAGACTTAAAGAGCAGAAGGGTCTTTAGCTGTCACCTATAATATCTGCCTACAAATAAATTAAAGAAAGAATAATAGATATGGACTCTTTTCCATCTTCAATCATTTCCCTTGCATACAGTTTAGATAACAAGGATATGGCTACACATAAAATGCCTACATGTGGCATGTAAATGTGTGGTATGTATAAGATAATTGATCATGAGTGGCATGTGCAAGTCAGAAAGCTGATAGAAGCATGATTACTTTAATAATGGAAACATCAACATGTTATCTACACAGTCAGGCAGAATCCTTGAAAGCTGACTGAAATGCCTCACCCTGAAGTCCTGCTTGCCTTTGAGCACGGAGTTCTTCCTCTGTATAGTGTGTAGACGTGCATACACACTGTTTCTACCTAAGTCGGGCATTTCTGATGATGAGGGTATTTGGTCTTTGTTGCTGATCTTACTGAGAGTAGAATTAAGATTCAGGCTTAGTTAAGGCAGTATTTTTATACTGATGTCAAAAGATTTGGGGTACACATAATGGTCTTTTTATGAAATTGGCAGTGCGTTAAATGAAGGAGGAAAAGGTGATATTTATATACAAAATAGCTGAAAACACAATAGTGCTTTGTGTGTTATGAAATATATATAAAGTTATCAGGAACTAGTTGATCACGCATTGTTGGGGGAGGCTGCTTGTTTGTTCCCAGCTGCTTAGACCCAAAAATAATCACTCAGAAATTATGTTATTTAAATCACTGCTTAGTCAATCACGTAAGTACATTGCTAGCTACCTTTCAAACCATTTCTGTTATTTTATATTTTACCATGAAGCTCATGGTCTACTGGCAAGATTCTTTTTTTTTTTTTTTTTTTTTTTGAGACAGGGTTTCTCTGTAGGTTTTTGGTTCCTGTCCTGGAACTAGCTCTTGTAGACCAGGCTGGCCTCGAACTCACAGAGATCTGCCTGCCTCTGCCTCCTACTGGCAAGATTCTGACTGGCAGTTGTGTCTTTCTCCTCTGGTGGCTCCATGGCATCTCGCTGACTCCACCTACTGTCTCTATATAGCTCTTCCAGCCTAAGTTCTGTTAAGCCGAAAGCAGCTTCTTTATTAACCAATAAAAGCAACACATATACAGAAGGACCTCCACACTAACACATAAGGTGTATATATGACTAAACTTTTGTATCTGGTTATGAAAGTTTACTAGATAAACTATAGAAAGCTTAAAGTTCTATATTTGGGGTATATAAATAGATCCCTTTAATTTTAAGTTAATTTCAGAGAACCATTTTGTAAGATGTAAGAAAGAACCTTATTTTTGTCTAAAAGGTAAGAGTGTTCCTGTTTGGTGACCTTGATTGAAAATTTAGGCTGTCTATTATGTGATCCTGTGCAGTGCTGTAATGTAACAGAGCTTCTGAAAATGCCATGGGACACTTCTTGTCATGGGACATGACTCTCTCAAGCTTAATGCATGTTTCACAGCTCATTTATCCCTTCCTTGAACTTTAAGCTTCTGTGGCTTAATAAATGATGCTGTTTAGGATGTGTGATGGAGAATGCATTCCTCTGAAACCTTAAATCGATTTTCTCTTCACATTCTTCATGAACTTATTGTGTGTCCCCATACTGCCTCCATGAGAAACAAAAAAAATGAGATTGAATTTTGTCTCCTAGAATCTACATCATTATTTGCCTTCATGTGTCTTATATCATGACTCATGGGGAAGGAGGTATCCCAGAAATGCATTCTATTTAAATTTTTGTTCAAACTTTGTCCCAGATTTCAATCTGTTGAGCTTAACCAATGTGTCTTTTCTTTGTTTTGGTTTTTTTTTTTTACCTTCTACAATATCATCCTTTTGGCTGCTTCAGTCAATTGTCAGAGAGTTTATTATTGTTCTTCATAGTGGGATACCACAAAGAAGAAGGCTTATGGGTTTAAAACAAATTTGGAATCTGTCATTTATTAGATCATGGTTCTCATCCATGTATCACAATCAAGGCTCTTAATTCCCATCTGTAGCCTGTGAATTCCCAGCTGTTGTGAAGACTAAATGTCATTCTGTAGATGTTAACACAGTGTGAGAACCATAGATCCTAATAAAGACTCATGGCTTCTATCCTTCTCCAAAATACAGGGAATTTCATCCAGTTGCTAAGGATGATTTCAAGTTAAACATGTTGCAATTCCTCTATTTTACCCCAGAGCGTTCATAGAGATCATTGAATGCCTTTAGGGGAAATTCATCTCTGGGCTGGAGTTTATTCTAATCCAGATACATATTACTTCTGTACTAGAGGTCCAAAAAATGAATCATGCAACCGAAATGAAAGAAGTATGAACTTTGACTTTGAGAATGCACACTTTAAAAGAAAACATAAATACGTCAATGAACAAATATAATAAAGGACAATGTATGTCAAGTGAGCAAGCCCTTTTTCTATAGACGATTAGGACAAAATGCGGGAAGGAGGTTAAGAAAAGCTTTTTGTATGGGGACCCTTGAATACTCTTTTCATGAAGCTAGAACTGAAAGAAAAGAAAAGGAAGGAGATTTGGGAAAGAGCATCTTGTGAAGACACAAGGTCATGCCCCAGCATGACAGATAGAAAACTGCAAATCTCATGCTGGTTTTTTTTTTTATTGATTTTTATTGAGCTCTACATTTTTCTCTGCTCCCCTCCCTTCCTCTTCCCTCCTCATACTGTTTTAAGAAACCATTTGGAACTTGTGAAAAGGGCACGGCTTCCTTGTAAGTAGTATGGCTACTGTAGTCCTTTGATCAAAAGACGATGATTACAAGAGAGGGCCCCATGATCCTAGACTGAGCGGATACCAGAAACCGTTATGCCTACTAAGCTCTGCAATAGTGTCTACTGAATTCCTGTCTGACCTTGGGTCAGTAGTTCTTGTCTACATAGCTCAAACAAAGCTGTTAACTACAGGCTACACTGGAAATTAAATAATTACAGAAGCATAAAAATAAATAAAGGTTTGCTCCTTTTCCCAACTCCCTTCCCTAAAATAAAGGCATTTCAAACTTTTGTTTTCCACGTACTCTCTCTCCCATTCTCTCTTTTCCCTCCTTGTTCTAATTAGACAGAAAAGGGGAGGTGATGTGGGACTTGCTGTCAATATATTTTATTACCATTGGTTAATAAAGAAGCTGCTTTGGGCCTATGATAGGGCAGAATAGAGCAAGGCAAGAATTCCAAGCAGAGATAGAGGAGAAAAAATAGGCAGAGTCAAGGAGACGCCATGCAGCTGCCAAAGGAGAAAGATGCCTACCAGTAGGCTACAGCCTTGTGGTGATACATAGATTAGTACAAATGGGTTACTTTAAGATGAAAGAGTTAGTTCATAAGAATCCAGAGCTAATTGGCCAAGCAGTGTTGTATCATTCAAGTGTGGATGGCTGGGAAACGAAGGAGCAGTCTCTGCCTACAAAAGTTCCCTCTATCCTACCCCCACATGCACACACACCCTGTATTTTTCATATACATACTTTCTGATTACGAAGTTCAATTTATACATTAGGCACAGTTGAAGGTTAACAACAGTCAATAATAAAACATTATCCAACCTGGCAGTAAATGCACTCATTCTGTCTTACTTCTCACCATGCTTTGTCTTCTGCTCTGCAACCAACCCAAGCCCAACCGCCACCCACTCTCAGCCCTATTATGATGCTATCTTGAGAACTGTTTCTTCTGCTTCCCCTGTCTCCCATGCCTTCTATATTTTATTCGCTTTGAAATGTAATTAGAGTGTGTTGTGATTCTTCTGCCAAAGCTCCAGGATCCTTTTGCACTTGTCATTTTCTTGACATAGGAATTGTTCACGTTCTTCACCTCACATGTGACCTTAGTTCTTGGCAAGGTTCCATCACCAAATTCACTCCAACTGTATTCCTCCATTTTAATCCTTAAACACGTGACATTTCCCCTCCTAAGGGCCCCGTACACTAACTATTCCTCTGCTAGAACATTTTCTCCTTATATCCCTGCAGAAGTAAGCCTGCAGATTGTGCTTCTTCAATCTTGTGCAAATGGTATCCCCTTATTGAAACTGGAGGTCAACTCTCTAAACCGTAGCCTTTACTCCATTCAAGGGAGGAGCCATTATAGTGCTTCTGCTTAAGGCATTGGTTTTCTCTTTTGAAATCATTCTTGACCTCCACTGTCATGTATTCATAATGAATTTATTCTCAATATTGTTAGTTTTATCTCTGTGTTTGAAATTAAATGCCAATATGTTGTTGGTTGGTCCATCAAAAGCACATAAAATAATGACTGAAACATAAAGGCTGTGAGTAAGAGCTTCCTGCATGTGCATGCAGAGGAAGGTGTCTCCTAGAAGGACATGCAGGACTGGCTGTGGAATAGAAAGACTTCTTGGAAAAAAGAAAAGAGTTTGAAACCTGAAATTGAGTAAGTTTCAAAGAGCATGGGATCAGAGTCTCTAAGTATTGGGAAAAGTATACAGAAAGTTTCTCACTCAAGGAAAACAGACAAATATTCTCAGTCTGAGAATTGGACGGAGCTGTCATGAGGACTGTGCAGAGTCAGGGAGTTCTGACCACACAGGATGAGGCGCTCAGCTCCATCTCCAACAC